TATGGGTGGATCCCTCAAGGAAAAATCCTTGAAATGGCTTTCATTTCCCATTTTCTCATGCATGGGCGGATTGCCCAAAGTCACTTCCTTTTTCTCTTATTTTTTTAATCACATGTCATGCCATGCAATTTCCTTTCTTTGTTATTAACGCCACTTCCCATTGGTGGCTTGTGCATGCAATGTTTCCTTATCCATTCCTTTATCCTTTGGTTAGATTGCCTTGCCCATGCATTGGTTCACATGGTATTCTCTTTTGGTTTATTTCATTTGCATTTCATTTCACATGTATTTCTATGCATTTCATTTTTGTTTCCTTTTAATGCCACCTTATCACCCAATAATATTTCATGCTATGATTATCCCTTTTCTTTTTCAAATCACATTACCATCCTTACTTTGATTATTGACTATCTTGGCCAAACCATGGTTTTCTTTCACTTAAATACTCCTTGTTCTTTTTTCCTCTTTATCAACTTTCACATGGTGGAGTCCCACATGTTTCCCATTAAACTTTCTCTTTTTTTCATGCAATAATTTACATGTAATAGTAACTTTACATGCAAAATCCATCAAGCTAAGTAATCTCACTTGCATTTCACTTGCATCCTACTTGAATTTCATCTCACTTTCCTTAATACCAATATATAAATCAAATATTCTCTTAACTTTTCATTTTTTACAATTCCACCCCTTAATTTCTTATTCTTTTTAATCGGGTCCTCCCATCATTCCTTTACTTCAATTCCTTTCTATTTTTCTTCCTTTACACTTGTACAAATAAAATGTCAAATTCATACTCCACGAATGTGTCACCATAATATTTAAATATATACTTACTCTTTCTCACTTAATTTAATAGAGGCACGTAGGCCCCACTAAAGCTTCTTTTCTTCAAAATATTTCTTACTTCCACTCCCTCACTTAGACAAATTGTATGAATCACATATTTTTCATGCAATATATCCAATTTGATATCGTTATTATTTTATTCCAAAATTCTTCATTTGTCTCCTCGGGTTTCAAAGTGTTTTACTTTGCCCTAGTGCACTTCCAAATCGCCTTTTAACTTGCTAATTCACCCTCGATAAAAATATTATTATTTTAATTATTATTTTTTAACATATAAAATATTTTATTTCAAAATATTCCCTTCATTCATCACCACTCTTTGGCACTCAAATTTACATCAATTGACCTTTCATCTTATCGATGAGGTCTAATTGGCTTCTATATGAGGGTACGGGGTATTACATTAATAATGAGAGGCATTTATACAAGAATTTCGATTAAGACTTGTAGATAAATTTGGACTTTAGGCTAGCAATTCTGCTTATTGATTTAAGTATAAAAATAGAGGCTAATTCCAAATGATTTGTTGAGGGATACCATGATCCTAGACTTTCAATCAATTACTTTTCTAGTAATTTTTCATCTTTATTCCTTAGGTTAGCATAGTTAATTAAATTTAGTCTTTAATTAATTTTCAAATTTTGGTTTGTTTGGAGAAGACGAGGGTGCCATAATTTTAGTACTTAGCAAGAATTTAGGCATAATTCCTAATGGGATGTGTTACCTTCTTACCTCTATATTACTTGTTCAATATGAAAAATTATGTGTGTAAAATTGACAACAAGTTTTTGGCGACACTGCTACGGAGTTGTTTTCTTATTTTCCTTTTTGCTAATATTAATACGAAGCAAACGAGTCTTCCTTCAAGCTTTGTTTTTTCTTTATTTTCAGGTACTTTGTAGTCATTGTCTGAGATAAGTAAGGAACTTGGAAATTATCCCTTGCAATCCAAAAATTGAGAAGACTTTTTCAGACTTTTGAGGCAAAATTCACAAGACTCAAATCATCTGAAAACAATGGTCTAAATAAAAGAGAGTAGCAAACTTAAGAGCAAGTAGTGGATAATCGATCTTTGAGAGATTATGCTATTTTGTTGGTGCAAGGTCTTCACTCAAGCATTTGAACGCTAGCTATTCAAGATAACAATTTTGAGATAAAGTCGACAATAATCCAAATGATCCAAACTTCAATCCAATTTGGAGGTCTACCGAATGACAATCCAAATGCAAATATCTCATATTTTTAGAGATTTGCAACACTTTCAAGCATTATAGAGTTACTGATGATGCTATTAAACTAAGACTCTTCCCTTTCTCATTACGGGATAAGGTGAAGGTTTGGTTGAACTCACTTCCCATGGGTTTTATTACTACTTGGACTGATCTTGCCCAAAAGTTTTTAGGTAAATTCTTTCTTCTAGGCAAGATAACAAAAACAAAAAATGATATCACATCATTCATGCAACTTGATTTAGAGTGTTGTATGAGGCTTAGGAGAGATCCACGCATTTGCTTCGATATTACCCTCATCATGGTCTACCTAAGTGGTTTCAAGTGTAGACGTTTTATACGGTTGAATGGTCATATTTGGACTATTATTGATGTCATTGTTGGATGAGCTCATATGTCAAAGTCTATTGATAAGGCTTATGATATGTTGGAAGAAATTGCATTAAATAATTATTAGTGGTCATTGGAGAGATCAATGTGTAAAAGGGCAGTTGGCATTCAAGAGTTGGAAGCTATCAATGCATTGATAGCACAAGTAGTTGCTGTGACCAAGAAATTTGATTCTTTTGGAGTTCATTTGGTTCAAAGTTCATTTGTTACTTATGATTATTGTGGAGATGGACACTCTAGAGATTACTATCTAGTAAGTTTTGAGTCAGTTTAGTTCATTAGGAATAGGCAACAAAACAACCTATATTCCAACACCAATAATCTTGAGTGGAGGAATCACCCAAACTTTTCTTATAGCAACAATCAAAGGTCTTTATCAGCTCTAAGGCCTGATTTCCCTCATAGATTTCCACCTCAAGTAAGACTTCCAGTACAAGAAAAGCCATCTATAGAAGAGTTGCTTATGCAATATATGGCTAAGACTGATGCTCTCATTAACAGTTAAGCAACCTCATGGAGAAACCTTGAGACTCAGGTTAGGGAACATGACAACACCATCAACAATAGGCTTCAAAGTACCTTACCTAATGCCATGGAAGCTAATCCTATAGGGAAGATCAGGAACATGTTAATGCTATTGCTCTTAGAAATGGAAAAGAGGTTAAAAGTAGTAGCAAGCAATCTAAACATCAAGAGATAGTGATTGAGAATTTGACAAGCCAATTAAGGATGAGATAGTGATTGAGAATTTGACAAGCTAATTAAGGATGAGATAGTGATTGAGAATTCTGACAAGCCAGTTCAAAAGAAGGAAATATAAGCAAACCCACCACCACCACCTTTTCCTCATCATTTTTGGAAACAAAAGCTTAATCATCAATTTCAAAAATTTTTAGAGGTGTTTAAAAGGCTTCACATCAACATTCTTTTTGCAGAAGTTTTAAAGTAAATGCCCTCTTATGTGAAGTTTTTGAAAGACATCTTAACAAAGAAACAAAGATTGGGTGAATTTGAGACTATGGCACTTACTGAAAAGTGCAATGCTATTATTTAGAACAAGCTTCCACTAAAAATCAAGGACCCTAGTAGCTTCACCATTCCTTGCATAATTGGTGCCTTACTTTTGCCAAAGCTTTAGTGATTTACGAGCTAGTATAAACTTGGTGCCTTTGTCAAATTAAACCCACCATGGTGACACTACAACTTGTCGATCAGCCTTTCACATATCCTCGAGGTATTGTTGAAGATGTGCTTGTAAAAGTGGATAAGTTTATCTTTTCAGTAGACTTTATTGTTCTTGATATGAAGGAGGATCATGATGTTCCAATCACACTCGAGAGACCATTTTTGCGCATTACTCAAGCTCTAAGTAATGTGGAGAAAAGAGAGCTTACCTTGAGAATGCATGACCAAGAGGTAACTTTCAACATTTTTAAAGCTTTAAAGTTTCCCAATAATGTTGATGAATGTCTTAGAGTGAGTGTTGTAAATAGTGTCACTAGTGAGGTATTTAATGAGAACTACCTTAATGACCCACATATGACAGTATTAGTTATGAGTTCTGAGAGGAATGATGAAGAGTTTCTTGAATGTTTGAACTTTTTGGATGCTTTAGCTCATGTCATGAGGACATAATTTCAATCTTTGGATTTTTCGTATAATTCTTCATTTGCAAAGCTTTTTATTGAAGAACCTTTTACCTACAGTTACTTGCTATCTACTGTCATAGTTCCTATGGTAATACCTTTTCTGTCATTCTGTCAATGCATTTGTTGTCAACCTTTTCATTTTGTCTAGATATATTCGTAAGATATAATGGGATTGTCTAAATAATGTTTTGGATATTACTTTTGTTTCAGTTGCACTATTTTTCTATATATGCAGAAGTTAATGAAAATGTCAAGCTATCTAACATCCAATCTTGCTTCTATGTCATGAAAAGGCAAGAGAACCAGATCGAGAAATTACTTTTGATAATGATAAACTTTATGATTAATAACATAGCCTAATCTTACATTTCTTTTTGTTATGAGTTTCTCATGTGTCCAAGTTTTTATTCCAAAAACTTAAGTGATGTTAAAGATTTTCTAAATTTTAACAAAGTTGAGTTGTTATGTTTGTGTTTAGTAGCAAAAGTTTTTGAAGCTTAAATTCATATGTCAACCTTGTCTATTTTTGGTGCCATATTTATGCCATTGATTATCTTTTCCTTATATGAGACATCCATGAAAAAGCTATTTTTTCATTTGTTTCCTTTACGTTTGGACAAACAAACTGTAGAAAATTTTAACATTTGTTTGGCTACCATTGCTGAGGAAGTCTTCAAGTACTAGTTAACCAACAAAAAACTAGAGTAATAAACTTGAAAACCTTTTACAGAAGATCTAAGAAACTTAAACTATTAAAAGATAAGGTTAATCAAGCACGTAAGATTCATCTACTAGAAGTAGACATAGAACTTTGAATTGGAACCAATTCATTCAAGTTCTTTTTTAAGCTTTTTCTTTTTTTAGTAA